CACACTGTATGGACCGCACCCTTCGCCCTTGGACAGCTACAGAACTTTAGTTTGGAAATCGAGGCCCTTTTTCTCAGAGCAAAGCAGATTTCCAGAAACACCAAAATTACGCAGCACTGGCCCTAGGCCTGTGTGTTGGTGCTTATGCGTATTTGAGAGAGAGAGAAAATGCCTTTCTCCTAAATGCAGGAGCCCCTTTCAAAGAAGACAACGTTAAAACATTAAGCTGGCAGCAGTGGTGGCTACGTCTCGTCCCAGAGCTTTGTCATGACGCCCATAAAACGGGCACATGGTAGTGACGCCCAGTGAAACACTGTGCTTCTTCCGTAATGACCTGAACCCTGCTGCCTGTCATTAAGGGACCTCTCTTATTAAATATCTCTTTTTTAAATGGCTGCCATCATCTGATCCCAGTGTACATTAAATCCCATTATAATTATAGCCACACTTCCCCATAACACCCACTGCAGATTCCATCCACACTGCCTACCCCCTCAGGGCATCTTTGCACTAATAACAACTCAGATTTGCTGTCTGAGTTGACAACATTAGGTCTCAACACCATTTGCAATATGCTGGGGAGAGAGAGAGGGGAGAAAAAGCTTTCTCTTCCTCAGTCAGGAAGATCTTGGGGTCAAGTGACCCAAGGCCTTAGGAGCTAAAAGAAATAATCCTTCTTCTTCTCCCTTTGAAAATCATGCTCTGCCCAGCAGACGAGAGGAAGGCCATACTTAGCACCTGGAGGAGAAGCCCGACTTCGCAAACACCACCAGCCTGGCCTCTGTCAGGGAAAGAGATGAAAATTACTAATTAGAGAAGCTGTCTTCTTACTTGGTTTTCTGCTTTCAACTAACCAGAATCCACAGGTCACCTGATTACCTCCCCCTCTGATTTTTGGAGGGGACATCTAAAAACGTGACATGAGAGAATTTAAAAAACAAAACAAAACAAAACAAAACACGGCAAGGGGCACCTGGGTGGCTCAGTCGGTTAAGCATCCAGACGCCAGCTCAGGTCGCGATCTCATGGTTAGTGAGCTCGAGCCCTGCATCAGGCTCTGTGCTGACAGTGTGGAGCCTGTTTGGGATTCTCTCTCCCCATCACCCTGCTCGTGCGTGCTCTCTCTCAAAATAAATAAATAAACTTTGAAAAAAAAAAAAGATGCACCAAAGAAAACCATCAACATATGCACAGAAGATAAATTTGATTTTGTTTCGTTTTTGACGTCATTTGCATCTACTGCAATTTGCAGTTATGACCTTGAAGCATTATAAGGTCCTTTGTCTCCAGGAAAGGATGCAATAGATCTGCTGTATCTTTCCCCAAGAGTCCCCAGTGGGTCAAAGATCTAAGCGTCCATGTGACAGCTGGCGCATCTTCCATTGGTAACATGGAGTCCTCAATTGCTCAGGAGACTCTTTCCTTTCAGGGGCTTCACTGCAGGTATCCCTCGGCAAAGAGGCTCTCTTTCCGACTCATCTCGAGGTTTTAGTATGCAAAGTGGCTGCTTCTCGCCCAGAGGTAGGAGTCCTTGATTTATTCATCATGATAGGAAAGTCTATCTTTAAATTTTACAACTATTCTCCAGCTGAGGTGTTGAAACAGAATGAATTGCAACATTTCATTAACACGCAATCAGAATACAGAATACTCAAAACACACTATGAGCCTTCTTCAGGGGCAATCTGTTCCTTGATGCTTTATTGTAATTCAAAACTCCCTCCTCAACTTTTGCCTGCGATTTTGAGGAAGGAGGGGGAAGTGATCTAAGTCTGTTTAGAGGGAAAGTCTGTTTACCTGGTGGTCTGACTCAGTGGGGAATGGTGCAGTCTCAAAGTTAAGATCAGGAGCTTTGCAGTCGGAATGGTCTGAGTTGAAGCCTCAGCTCTGACGGTCACCAGCCCTACAGTCTTGGGTAAAGCGGTTCACCTCTTCCAGAGCCTCAGTTTTCTCATCTAAGAAATGGGGAGAATAATAGCACCTGCCTGAATAGAGTTCACACATTTACATCACACGGTATGGGTAATGTGTTAAGATTCACAGTCGGTGCTTACAGCGAGTGATTATTCCCACAGGCTTTTCCCTGTAAGATCCCTTAGACCTACTATATCCCCTTCTTGCACAAACTGAGCTCCGAAAGCCTGCTACCCATGGGAGGTATGAGAATAAAGGAGGAGAGGAGGGAATGACAAGATTTAACGTGGAATTCTATTCAAAGGTCAATTAATCAATTCCCGGGTCTCCAGCATGACCTCCCCACAAGACTGAGGTCTCTCTTATTTTTTAGGCCTGTCCCAACTGATGTCCCAGCTTTCCTTACCACACCAAGAAGTTAAAAAAAAAAAAAAATCGCAACCAATACATGGACATGAGAGAGAGAGGGAGAGAGAGAGAGAGCGCGAGTTTTCTCCTGTAATTTTCCATACTGCTTGTTTTTAAGGTGCCCCGCCATATGAGCTCTCTGAGCTGGGGATTGTATCAGCCTTCGGGGGACCCAAGGACACAGCTCTGGCTATAAATGGTGCTGGTTTTGGTGGAAGAGCTGCTGCTACTTTATCTGGGCCCAAGAAACCTTATCAAACTGCTGCGTTGCCAGCCTCTAGCGCTAAGTGGAACTGCTTGGAGCCCAGTGCTGGCTCTCAGCCCACAGCCTCGTCTGCCTTCCTTCTTTTTGTTACCTTCTCCACCTCTTAAATTCAGGCATTAATCTCTCTTTAACACTCACTAACAAGGGCTGGGCTTTTTAATGGGCAGAGTTTATGAAGCAAGGGAGATTTTCGCATAGAGAGAATGTGGCACGGAGTGGGTGGGGGGGAGGCCAGGGAACCACGCAGGGACGGCTCTCCCTCTCCCATTGTTTCCAGGGCTTCTCCCTTTCTGTGATTTGAGGATTAATAGGAGATTCGGATCAAGGGTTAATTGTGCGCTTCTGCTGCTGCTGCACTCAGGAGGGGCTGGAAGGTGGACGGGGACAGCGAGGCAGCAACCTTGAGCAGGCACCATCTGCGCAAGGGCTCAACAAGTTCGAGGACTTTCTCCTCTTTCCCTGGTGAGGTCTCTCTTCTTCCATCGCTCTCTCTCCGCATGCTCTCCCTGCAGACCAGTTCTTTAACTTTAAGTCTCTTTCCCCTTGCAGACAGTGCAGACGTTAGCTAGAAAAGCAGTCCGGAACAGGGATCATTGCTCTTTATCGTTAATCAGAACGAACACCCAGGGACCATGCTTTTCCAGGGTTGGGCTGGATGTTGCTCTAGTCACTGCTGTCAGAGGGTAATTGGCTGGGTCCCCTCACTTCCAAGTGTGCTTCTCGGCCCTCTCCTCTCCTGACCCCTGCAGGGCTGAGCGCTTTGGCTGCTGGGAGGAGGCAGGAGCACACTTGCTGGGATGGAATTGCCTCAGCCGCTCCGGTTAGCCCCGAGCTCTTCTAGTTCTGGCCTTCAGCTGCCCAGAAGCAGAGTTTTGCCTCTAGTTGGTGTCTGCCACTTTCCATGACCCTATAGTTCTTTGGGCCTGACTCTAGGTCTGGGGCAGTACCAGAGGCAAGCATCGGAGAGTGATTATATTCCAGCGCAAACCTCTGACGCACCAGCGTGTCAGGGGGCAAGTGTGGGGACTGGTCTCCCGAAGCCCCTCGTTCCTAAGACTGACCTCCGGGGCTGACTGTCTGGAGACCCAGGGAGGGCGCCCTCCACCAACACCTTCATTCCAGAGGTCCCAGACTTTACTTGGGCTCCATGGCCGGTGCCCAGAAGAGAGCTTCCCAACCTCTTGCCCCCTACCTTTGCCAAGTTCCTGGGAAATGAAGGGGCGGGGGGGGGGGGGGGGGGAGAAGGATGCTCCAGCGCCCGAGAAAGGGCAGATTTTTTTTCTGGTTGCTCTACCCCGAGATTAGTGATCTCAACGCCACCCTCTAAGTGGAGCGGCCAGCTGAGAGGAAGAGGCACTTTTGGGGGGCTCTAAGCTTTTTCAAGCTTTCACTCGCCCCCTGAAGACTTTGCGCTGAGCAGGGCGCAGCTCTCGGGAACTGTGTCCAATCAGGTTCCCAGGGGGACAAAGCCCAAGGAATGCTCAGGACCGGGAGGGGGAAAAGTTCCTCTCCTCCAGGGATCGTGACGGCTACAATGGGACAGGGGTCTCCCTTGGACGACCGAGCTCCGCGGATCCCCCCGGCACCAGGCTCACCAGGGCCTGGGAACGGCGCCTGGAGACTTCTCGCGATCCAGCTGCCCAACGCCTGGCGACACAGAAGGCCTGGGCTCGGGCTGAGAAAGGGCCCTTCTGCAACTGATGTCGGGGTACAGGGGATGCAGCCCCGAGCCCGCAGAGAAGTGGAAGGCGAGATGACACGCACTGAACCCGGGCGAACACTGGAGCCAGGGACGACACTCCGCGCCCCAGGAAGAACAAAACCCGCGTCCAGAGGAAATTAAAAACCTGGGGTCGAAGGCGGGGGCTGCTCCTCGCCCCTCACCTCCACTGCCCCCACCGAGGATTCCCAGTCGCTGGCACGGCTCTCCGCGCGCTCCTTCTTCCCTCTCGGCTGGGCCGGTGAGCCGCGGCCGCCGGCGCCCCAGCAGCAGCAGCTAGATGTCAGGCGAAGCCCGGAGCGCGGCGCGCCGAGCAGGGAGGGGAGGGGAGGCGGCGGAGCGGAGGGGAGGGGAGGGGAGGGGTGGGGCGGGGAGCGCGCGCGGGCTCGGCCAGTGCGGGGGGGCGGGGTGGGCGGGCTGAGCCCGGGGACGGCGCGGGAGGGGGGAGGGAAGGGGGGCAGCTGTGGGCAGCGAGCCGGGCTCGGCCGCCAGCACTAAAGATGGAGAGGCGCCGGGGCCTCGCAGGGGAGGGGGCTCGGCATTGACGTGGGACGCGGCGGAGGCGCCGCAGCCGGTGGTGATTTGCTAACCTCGCAGCAGAGAGGAGTTGAGGGCGATGAGAGCGGGTACTGCGAACTGCTGGGCGATGCCGCCGCTGCCGCCGTGATACCGAGAGCAACAGTTCCCAGCAACACCCCTCCCCGACACAGGCACACACCCCCAAGAGGCACGCACACCCACCCCGCAGCGCCCGGCTCGGCAGCGGTGAGTGAGGGGCCGGGGAGGGGCGCGCCGCCCAGCCGTAGGCGCGCGCCGGGGCGCCCCGGGGCTGGAGAGGTCCGAGGGGCGCGCTCCCTTCGGCCGCTCGGCCGCCGGGCTGGTCCTTATTTTATTCGGCTTGTTCCTTTCCTGCCGCGGCAGCCGTCGCCACCGCCGGTTGGGGGTCGGCTAGGAGGGGAGCCCCGGCTGTCAGCTTGGGCGCAGCTGCCTCCCCGACCCTTCCGCCCTAGGGCACGGTCGGGGCGAGCGGTGGGGGGCAGAGCGGTCTGCCGGGGCTTGAGGGCGCGAGCGGAGGGCTGGGGAACCGGAGGCATTGTAGCCCCAGCGGCCGGCGGAGGAGCCCGGAGCCGGTGGGTGCTCATATGTATGCGGACCGGTGCGCGGGCGCGATAGGCTTGTGGTTTATTTGTGTTTATTCGCCGGCCGGCTGGGAAGCTAGAATCGGAGGCTCCGAGGAGTGGATCTGGGGGCGTAGGGGAGCAGGACTCGGATTCCCTTGGGTCGTCTTTCTCTTTGAAAAACGTGGTGGGCTCTTTTTTTTCTGGATTGGACTGGACTCCCCACCCGATTTGGGGGGGGGAGGGGCGGCCGTGGCGGAGCCCCGGAGGGTCCCCGGGGCTCCGGGCCGTCCTCGGCTCTCGGCGGGACCGGCCGTGGCACCGGAGCCGGCCGTGCGCTCCCGGCCGCGCTGGGTGGGAGCCCCGGCTCTGCACCTGATGCACTCGGGATGCGTTGCCCAGCCTGGCGCGCCGGCGGCTCGCTCGCGCAGCCCCTCGGACGCTCCCGCGTGCTCTCCAAACGCGCGCCGTCTCGCCCGCCCGCGCACCCCCCGGAACGCACCGACGCGCGGGGCCGCGGCTCGCCCGCCCGCTCCCCGGGGCGCTCGCAGCCTGCCGCGGCCGGGGGTCACGGCCCTGGGGCGGAGGGGGCGGGCCGGCAGACCCCCTCTCGCCTTTCCTTCCACCACCACTCGCTGTCGGGCTTTTGTGCTTCCCCTTCGCGGCGGGGCGGGTCCGCCGCCTCGCGCTCTCGCCCCGGCGTCCAGCCCGCCCGTCGCCCCGGTCTCTTTCGCTTTTCCTCCTTCCTAAGCCGGCTGCTTTCCCCTCCCTCCCCCCCAACCCGCCGTCGGGCTCCCCGGGAAAAGTTGCTTCCCCAAGTTTGCTGAAGTCGCTTCCAAGTCTCCGGGGGGGGGGGGGGGGGGGGGGGGGGCTGGGACGGGGGGCGTGCGAGAGCAGGATCGATCCCCGGAGCTCCGGCGGGTTAGCGCCGGCGTTCCCCCGCGCCGCCGCCGCGCTGGGCGCTGCAGCCGGCGGGTGGGGGGCCGGCTGGCCGAGAGCACCCCGATTTCCCGCAGGCCCTAGGGCCCTTGCTTTGGGGAAGGAAGGAATTCGGGTAGCTCAGCTTCCATTCTTTGGATTGCCCGTCCTAGTTCCCCCAAGCCCCTAGGTCTGAAGGAAGGCGCGCGGTGGCAAGGCGCTCGTGAGTGGCGCTTCCACTCTTGACGGCCTAAGCCCCCACCCCAGGGTGGGCAGCAAAAGTGTCTTGACCAGCCGTCTTGTTAACCCTTTCTGCGTGAGATTTGCGGCTCCGGAGCCAATAGGGCTCCTTCTGGGGGCGGAGGCAAGCAGTGTTGGAAGAGGCAGCCAGAGCCTGTGCTGTGCTTGGCTTCTGGTTCATTTCACTGCAGCGTTGGCCTCGCAAGGCAGAGGCTGGGGGACGCCTGGGTCTGCGTGAGGCCTAACACTTGCAACCGGTTAGGGGGGCCCGGAGCCCTCTAACTGATCCCAAAGGATACTTTGGGAGAGGGCTTTGTCTCCCAGCCTGTACTCTCTTCATACTGGTTGTAACTCACATGGTTGACCCTGGTGCCAGAATCACTTCTGGTGCCTTCACGCAGCGGCCAGCATCGATTGCTGCTCCTGGCACAGGACCTGGGAGCCTGTGGGACTCGCTTGGGAGTTCACGTACTTAGCGCGTGCACTCCTGGCTATAATAGGGGTGCGTGTTTCCTACGATCTCTAGGTATCTTGTGACGCACTCTCCTACAACTTGTAGACCTTCCGTCCACTCGGCACCTGTGGTCAGGGGGTAGATGCAGCACCTCCTATAAGTATGTGCACTCGTGTTCCCTCACTCTCCCTGGCTGCTGTGTGCACACGTGCCCAGGCACACACACAGTCCAGATTTAGGATTGCGTCTCCAGTAGCTCTGAGGCACCTATGAGTGGAAGTCAGCCAGGCTAGCGTGGGCGTTGTGTGTGTGTGTGTTCCTGTCGTGGCCTAAGGAGGGATCAGGGTGGAGGGCGGTCCATCCCTTGCAGCCCTGAGAAGAGAGGAAGGGCAGAGGCCTAGGAGGCGTCGGCCGACCATGAGATGGGCCAGAGGAGAGCCCTGGCTTGCGGATTTGTCGGGGTTGGGCCTGCAGGCTGCCAGCTCCAGGTAGGCCTGTGCATGCTCCTCCCGCTGCCCCAGTGAGGCGGGATTTAGAAAAACTTTGTTTAGAAGATGAGGTTTCCCGCACGGGGTTGAGAGTGCGATGGATCACTTTAGTTGGCTAAAGGAAGGGGTTAACCTCGGACTCCTGTAGAGCGAGTGCCGGGCACTTCCTTGTGATGCACGTTGGCCATGTGCAGGAGCCCCTCACTCTCAGACGCAAAGAAGCGCAGGAGTCCTAGGATTTCACTTCAGTTCATCTAACAGACGTCACAGAGCAGCGAATGAACCAGATGCTGTGACAGAACCTGGTCTTCACCCTCTGTTCCCCGGGCCTTGTCAAGGCAGATGTGCAGAGTTCCAGGAAGCTTCTTCCTCCCCTTCTGTGTCGAGTTCTTGCTTTCAGGGACACTAACTAATCTGTCTGTTATTCTCTCCTCTCTTTCTCCGTGCCTCCCCCCCCACCCCACCCCAATCCCCTCTAGCCCTCTCGGTTGGCCCAGGAGACCCACCCGGCCCGTCACGCAGAGCCAGGAAGGAAAGAGAGCCTCATGCCTGAGCCGAGGGGAGCACCATGGATCTGACAAAGACGGGCATGATCCAGCTGCAGAACCCCAGCCACCCCACGGGGCTCCTGTGCAAGGCCAACCAGATGCGGCTGGCCGGGACGCTGTGCGATGTGGTCATCATGGTGGACAGCCAGGAGTTCCATGCCCACCGGACCGTGCTGGCCTGCACCAGCAAGATGTTTGAGATCCTCTTCCACCGCAACAGCCAGCACTATACTCTGGACTTCCTCTCGCCAAAGACCTTCCAGCAGATTCTGGAGTACGCGTACACGGCCACGCTGCAGGCCAAGGCGGAGGACCTCGACGACCTGCTGTACGCAGCCGAGATCTTAGAGATCGAGTACCTGGAGGAGCAGTGCCTGAAGATCCTGGAGACCATCCAGGCCTCCGACGACAACGACGCGGAGGCCACCATGGCAGACGGCGCGGCCGAGGAGGAGGAGGACCACAAAGCTCGGTACCTCAAGAACATCTTCGTCTCGAAGCATTCCGGCGAGGAGAGCGGGTACGCCAGCATGGCCGCTCGGAGCCTCCCTGGACCCATGGTGGACCAGAGCCCTTCCGTCTCCGCCCCGTTCGGCCTTTCGGCCATGAGTCCCACCAAGGCTGCGGTGGACAGTTTAATGACCATAGGACAGTCTCTCCTGCAGGGAGCTCTTCAGCCCCCCGCGGGGCCCGAGGAGCCGGCCCTGGCCGGGGGCGGGCGGCACGCCGGGGTGGCTGAGGTGAAGACGGAGATGATGCAGGTGGACGAGGTGCCCGGCCAGGACAGCCCCGGGGCCGCCGAGCCCAGCATGGCGGGCACCACGGGGGACAGGGTTGAGGAGCGGGGCAGAGAAGGGCCTGGGACCCCCACTCGCGGCAGCGTCATCACCAGCGCCCGGGAGCTGCACTATGGGCGCGAGGAGGGCGCCGAGCCGCTGCCGCCCCCGGCCGAGGCTGCCCAGGGCCCCCCGGGTCCCCCCGAGCCCCCTGCGCCCCCGGCTGAGAAGCCTCTGGGCATCTATTCTGTGTTGCCCAATCACAAGGCCGACGCCGTGCTGAGCGTGCCGTCTTCAGTGACTCCTGGCCTCCACGTGCAGCCCGCCCTGGCCGTGTCCATGGACTTCAGCACCTACGGGGGGCTGCTGCCCCAGGGCTTCATCCAGAGGGAGCTGTTCAGCAAGCTGGGCGAGCTGGCGGTGGGCATGAAGTCGGAGAGCCGGAGCATCGGGGAGCAGTGCGGCGTGTGTGGGGTGGAGCTTCCGGACAACGAGGCGGTGGAGCAGCACAGGTAGGGCCCTCGCAGCCCCGCGCCCCACAGCCCGGCCCCGGGCTGCTGGCTCCTGACACCCTGCCTCTGCGTCCAGCTACTCCCCGGGGCCCGGCTCCCCTGTCCTCCCTGCTCTTTGTGAACAGACCCTTTTTCTAAGTCCTGGGGCGGGGGTGGGGGGGGCGTGGGGGGGGCGTGGGGGGGAGACACATGTTTCAAATGTGCTGAGAGGGCCTCGGGTGTTTCCTAAGCGCTGGGGACCTCACCGGGCCTGCTTCTTATCACGCTCTTTCCTCTCCTTTTGCCTTCGGGCTTCCTTTTAATTTTTCTGCTGTTGGGTCCTGTCCCCTTTGCGGGAGTGACTGATAAACTGGAGGAAGAGGAGAAGCAGGATTGAGGAAGAAGGTCTCCTGTGGCCCGGATCTGGCCACGTGGCTGAGTTTCAGGCACATAGATCCCCAGGTCCCCAGACAGTGCTCCCCACAGCTCCGGAGCGCAGGGGGTGGGGGTGGGGGGTTGGGGGGGGGGCTGGATGCTGCCTAAACCATGTGAGCCGGTCCTGGTGAACCTTTCTCACCAGGCACGCTGCTCCCTTTCCCTGCTCATTCTCTGCCCTTTGCCAACACGGTTAGAGGGAGTTGATTTAAATTCTAGAGGGAAGGGTGGGTATGGGAGCCTGGGTCATCCCGTCTCTGCTCACGTTGAATGGAATGCGACTTCGGGCCAGCATTGGCTCCCCTCTGGCCCCTGTCTCTTTCTTTGTGAAATGACCATATATTGAGCTCTCAGGACGTGCCTGGTTCACTACTAAGTGCTTTACGCGGAGTCACATTTTTGTCACGGCGGTCCCCTGAGGTGGGGGTGCCCTTCTTTCACGTAGGAAGATGCTAAGCCCTTTTCCCAGGGTCACACAGAGTCAGAGACAGGGTTCAGGTGTGAGCCTCCTTGTACTTCGCTGGCCCTTGGAGACCCTCAGTGCTGAAGAGGGTCATGTCTACAGAACCAGAGGGTTTTGAGAATTGCTCCTAAGTAAATACGGACAGGATCAGAGTGGGTTTGCTTTTCCCTTGCATCTGCTGTGACGATACGCCCGTTCTTTTACCCTCTGGTCCCTGGGTCGGGTGAACGGTGTCAGGAAATCCAATTTTGTTGTCATCCACGGTAACATTTCCTGCACACCCTCTTGGCCACTGTTTTGCCGATCTGGGGTGGATTCTTCACTTGAGCGACCCTCTTTTTCTACCCGCTCCTGTTGCTCATTCAGGTACAAGAGGGGGCATGAGTGAGAGGGTGGGGGGGCAGGGCGGGCACCTAGGGGGTCAGCAGTTACCCCACGCCCAGCCGGAACCTGCTCCCACGCCGCCTGATCCGCTGCTTTGAGACCTACCTTGCGGAAAGTGCCGCTGAGCTAATTGTAGCCGAATTTTTCCGGTGGGTGCGAAAAATAACCGCCGCTGAGGTGTGCCTTCTCGACGCTTGCACCACCCAGAAATAGACTGAGGCTGTGTTTGTTTTTGCTCAAACTTTCCTAGAGAGGAAACCCCCCTCCCCAAACTTGACCAGATAGATTTCTCATCTTCTCCGGATGTGAATTATTTCAGATAGGTGCTATGGGAAATGGGGTCTGGTGGAAAGTACTTTTGCATCTGGCTCTCCTCTGGTCCTGATTGCGTCTTCACCTGGGAGGGCCACGGAAGATCCCACTCTCCCTTAGGGGTCCAGGCTCCCAGTCTGCGGGGCCCTTTGCCCTCCTGGGGAGAGGCGGAGGCCTGGCTGTGTTGCGCTCCGCAGAGCGTGGGCCGTGGACCTAGCCACATCTCACCAGGAGAGCGTGGTATAGTTATGTAACCTTTACGAGTTTTGTTTTACTCTTAAAAATGGAGATGGTCTGCAGAGCGTGGTGCTGCATCAATGAAGGAGCATCCAGAAATCCCTAGAGCAGTGGGCGACACTGTGTGCCGGTGACGGACTGACCCACCGGTCCCCATTTTTGTTCACGTCTCCACATTGCCCCCCTTGGCATCTAGATTTCTAGAGTGTAGTGTCCACAGAGCTGCCTTCCACTGGGGCTGTGCTAGCCATGAGGCGGTGCAGAGAATGTCCCTGTCCCTAGGAGCTTATGACGGCGAGGCGCTGGCCCAGGGATCCTTGGCTATGGGCTGCTGGCATGGGCAAAGCGCTTTTGACCGAGAGTGGAAAGTAAGCTGGTGCAGCCCAAGAAACTGGAGCCGAGGGCAGTGCCCCGCGTGGAAAGCTGTGCGGACTGAAGAAAGCCGGGAGGGGAGAAAATGTTCCTGGGGCTTCTCAGCCCTTGCTCGCCCTGGCCGCCCGTTGGCTCCTGATCAGATGCACTTCGTGGGAGGCTTTTCCTCTCTCCCTCAGAGCTCCTGGGTTAGGGTGCTACTTCCCTAATTCCTGTTTCTCACAACCACTAGTACAAACAAAAGGAGGAGACAAAACAATTAGAAGTCGGGACGCTGTGCAATTAAGTGGAAACATAGCAGTGATGAACGTGGCAAAGTAGCAAGCTACAGGTTTTATTTCGTTTTACTTTTAAGCCATAGACTGAAGTGTCCCTGGAGATTGAGTCCAGGGGAAATTAACTGTTGCCTGTATGGCGTGGGGAGCGGGAAGGCTGGGAAGTGGCGCAGGAGGGAGAGGGCCTGGTACGAATCCCGCGACTGGCATCCCTCGGTCCCAGGCTGCAAGAGCCTGTTGGCGCGACTCACAGACAGAACAGAACAGCGAAGTCGTGGTCTCTGCATTGCTCCTTGGCGAGGCTGTGTGGGCAGCATCCTCTGCAGTCACAGACTGATGGAGAGACCGGACAAAGATACTCCTTCCGTAAATTAGCTGGGGCTCACTTACCTGAAGGGTCCAGAAGGGCAGCAGACCTGAAAGACCAGCAGCATTCTCCAGGCAGATGCAGGAGCAAGGTCTGAATGCCACAACCTTCTCCAGCGTGCTCACATCACAGGGGACAGTATCTGAGGGAGGCAGGGTCACAGCAGGCTTCTGGAAGATTGGCCTCTCCACTGCGTTCATCTCTCGTCTTTCTCTCTGTCTCCAAAAGGCTGGAGCTGTTGTGCGCGTGGGCTTACCTGGATCTGCTCTAGGGACCTGCTCACCTGGGTCAGGTGCACCTTTTCTTTCTCGGAGTTCTGTACACGTGCTGTTAAGATTACAGGGGGCAGTGTTGCTGTCTTAGGTGTGAACAGTCTTCATTCGTAGCCCTCAGCCTCCCTAGGCTCCCACAGCCCGGCCTGAATAGGTTTCTGAGTCAAGTGCTGCAGAATCAGAGAGTGGGGTCAGGTCTGCCAGTTAGACCAGCCACAGGGCGTATCCGGCACACGCACAGTAGGAACTCCGGCCTGGGTCTCGAAGAGATGCTCGGGAAACACAAGGAATGATCTCAGCCAGCTCCCGGGACCCGTGTCTGCAGCCCTTCCCAGAGGCTTCCTGGGGCCAGCTCTAGGGTGCGCGGGCCACACAGTTGAGATGACAGATTCTGCCTGGCTCTTTGCCTTGGTCTGTCTCAGGTGACCAGCTGCTCTGTTTTCAGTGGTTGACCATGTAGAGGGCCAGCAGCTGTTGACCTTGGTTTCGGCCACTTTGGGGAGTTTAGCGGTTGCCCTTACTCTCGGTCGCCTTTCCTTCTTCTGCTGGCTTTAGGTGCCTCTGAGGTCAAACCAAGCTCTGCTCGTGATGCAGCCGTAATATAGCGCTTTTTATCAACTGTAGCACTTTCTTCTTGGCAAAGCACTTTTAATGACTTTCTCAGCCCGACAGCCCCCTCCCCCCCGCCAGTGGGTACAGGTCTGTCATTCCGCATCTGTGAATATAAAGTCTGAGAAGCTCTGAAAGCTGAAAGGTTTTGTGCAACTCATTTAGTGGCAGAACCTGATCTGAACTGATGTGAGGCTATATTTATCCCATCTACTTTGAATATTCATATGTTTTGCTGCAAAAATATTAATGTGTTTGATTACAGAGTGCTCCCCTAGAGTCCCTGGGACTGGCAAATACCATAAGACCCGTGGTACCTTTCTGAAGTCTGAGCAATTGAGATTTCTGGAGCACCTGCGGGTTTTGGATGATCCAGTGGGATCGTGGACCACTTTTAGCCCCAACCTGCAGACGAGGAAACTGAGCTTTGGAGCCAATAAATGACTTGGCCAAGGTCACAGAGCTATAAATGGATAGAGTCAGGAGCCCAACTGGCCTTCTGATTCCCCATCCCGAGCGCTCTGCGCCAGGCCATATAAGCACATGGGCATTGCCATTCTGGGTCAGGTCCATCTGACCTAGTCTCTGGGTGCCAACACCATCCCTAAGATACCACCGTCCGAGGCTGTAGCCATCTTCCTTGACGTCAATCCTAAAGGTCAGGCGGAGCCCGACTTCTCTGAGTAGCTATTTATGGCTGTTCTGTCATTCACAGATTTGCCCAAATCCTTTCTGAATCCATTTCTATTTCCAGGAAGTGGCCTTTTGGGGGGTGATGAATGACTTAACGTTTAAAACCTCCCGGACTCTGGAAGTCTTGCCTTTGGAGGGGTCGTTAGTTGTGAGGTTGGAAGGATGGCGGGAGGTTTCATGGTGGTGCGTGTGGCTGGGGAGTGGGCTGGGCCTCTGGCCTCAGCTCCCGGGATGTGGGGCGCGGGACCACTGTTAGTCTCTTTCTCACCTGGAGCCTCATTCCTTGGTTTGTAGAACTCGGTGGTTGGAGGAGCTCTTTCTGGATTGTTGAGTTCTTAAAGAAGTTCTGCCCCTTGCGTGTGTACTCACTCCCATTCTTATGAAGTCCTTTCAGCTAATTGCATTTTGCTCTGTTTTGGAATCTGGGTTGGCAGTCAGCCAGCAAACACAGGCCGGGCGGGGGGGTCTCTTTGATTTGATCCTGTCCACCCTTTGTTTTTTTAAGACTTTTACTCGCATAGGGTTACGGAGTCCTCTGGGATCTCGACGACACTCTGGGAAATTCTGAAGATGATTTCTTCTATATTTTATTTCCAGTGGAG